GAGCTCCTCGTGTATTCTGGCTTAGTGTAAATTCCTTACATTTCCCACAGTTAACGCTCAGTTAACACTCAGTTAACACTCAGTTAACACTACAGTTAACACTACAGTTAACACTGCCGAAATGCTGGGAAAACCAGCATTTTCTTCAAATGTGTATAAAAGACACTAAAACTAGCAGTTTTTCTTTTTTAAAATGCGTGTATTCTGCAAAATGCTGGTTTTTGCGGCATTTCGGCAGTGTTAACTGTAGTGTTAACTGTAGTGTTAACTGAGTGTTAACTGAGTGTTAACTGTAGAAAAGGCACACTATGCAGTTAACACTTATTACTCTGCCGAAATGCAAGGAAAACCTGCCTTTCCTCAAATCTGTCTTACAAGTACCTCGGTCCTTGACACACAGTGACACACCGACACACATGGTGAGATGGTGAGGGATCGATATTGTGGCTTGTCATCACTTGCATATTGCTTACTGTGACAACAGTTTAAGGTACCGACAGGATCCTTCTTGCTGAGATGACCAAAGTAGCCTGTGTCTTCACTCGACTGTACCACGCTTCCTGTGACGGGTACCATCCACATGCAGACCAAGCCCGATACATGTCCAAGAATGCGATACGGCAAGCTTGTTGGCACGGCTGGTTGCTATAGGTACGACCCAAGACCACGCAAGCCGACTGTGGTTGCAGGCTTCCAGGATGCGACTTTTTTTGCACCCTGACCCGGGTGCTCCACTTCGATCCAAGTCTGCTCCATGCAGCTCCGCGGCACTCCGGTGGGACTCCCACTGGCGAGCTCCTCGTGTATTCTGGCTTAGTGTAAATTCCTTACATTTCCCACAGTTAACGCTCAGTTAACACTCAGTTAACACTCAGTTAACACTACAGTTAACACTACAGTTAACACTGCCGAAATGCTGGGAAAACCAGCATTTTCGTCAAATGTGTATAAAAGACACTAAAACTAGCAGTTTTTCTTTTCAAAACGCGTGTATTCTGCAAAATGCTGGTTTTTGCGGCATTTCGGCAGTGTTAACTGTAGTGTTAACTGTAGTGTTAACTGAGTGTTAACTGAGTGTTAACTGTAGAAAAGGCACACTATGCAGTTAACACTTATTACTCTGCCGAAATGCAAGGAAAACCTGCCTTTCCTCAAATCTGTCTTACAAGTACCTCGGTCCTTGACACACAGTGACACACCGACACACATGGTGAGATGGTGAGGGATCGATATTGTGGCTTGTCATCACTTGCATATTGCTTACTGTGACAACAGTTTAAGGTACCGACAGGATCCTTCTTGCTGAGATGACCAAGTAGCCTGTGTCTTCACTCGACTGTACCACGCTTCCTGTGACGGGTACCATCCACATGCAGACCAAGCCCGATACATGTCCAAGAATGCGATACGGCAAGCTTGTTGGCACGGCTGGTTGCTATAGGTACGGCCCAAGACCACACAAGCCGACTGTGGTTGCAGGCTTCCAGGATGCGACTTTTTTTGCACCCTGACCCGGGTGCTCCACTTCGATCCAAGTCTGCTCCATGCAGCTCCGCGGCACTCCAGTGGGACTCCCACTGGCGAGCTCCTCGTGTATTCTGGCTTAGTGTAAATTCCTTACATTTCCCACAGTTAACGCTCAGTTAACACTCAGTTAACACTACAGTTAACACTACAGTTAACACTGCCGAAATGCTGGGAAAACCAGCATTTTCTTCAAATGTGTATAAAAGATACTAAAACTAGTAGTTTTTCTTTTTAAAGTGCGTGTATTCTGCAAAATGCTGGTTTTTGCGGCATTTCGGCAGTGTTAACTGTAGTGTTAACTGTAGTGTTAACTGAGTGTTAACTGAGTGTTAACTGTAGAAAAGGCACACTGTGCAGTTAACACTTATTACTCTGCCGAAATGCAAGGAAATCCTGCCTTTCCTCAAATCTGTCTTACAAGTACCTCGGTCCTTGACACACAGTGACACACCGACACACATGGTAAGATGGTGAGGAATCGATATTGTGGCTTGCCATCACTTGCATATTGCTTACTGTGACAACAGTTTAAGGTACTGTTGATGGAGGAAATCTTGCACCAGTTTAAGTGGCCAAGCCAAGCAGACACCCCACGCCCCCTTTTTAACATTGACCGGTGATCCTCGGAAGTGCCGTGGGTTCCAATGACAAAAATCTTGCACCACCTCCGTATCCATCATCTTCAATGTTAAAAAGGGGGCGCGGGATTATGCTCAAGTGTCGTGTCACCTGTTATTAGGCAGATGGTGCAAGATTTCCTCCATCAACCGACAGGATCCTTCTTGCTGAGTTGACCAAAGTAGCCTGTGTCTTCACTCGACTGCACCACGCTTCCTGTGACGGGTACCATCCACATGCAGACTAAGCCCGTTACATGTCCAAGAATGCGATACGGCAAGCTTGTTGGCACGGCTGGTTGCTATAGGTACGGCCCAAGACCACACAAGCCGACTGTGGTTGCAGGCTTCCAGGATGCGACTTTTTTTTGCACCCTGACCCGGGTGCTCCACTTCGACCCAAGTCTGCTCCATGCAGCTCCGCGGCACTCCAGTGGGACTTCCACTGGCGAGCTCCTCGTGTATTCTGGCTTAGTGTAAATTCCTTACATTTCCCACAGTTAACGCTCAGTTAACACTCAGTTAACACTACAGTTAACACTACAGTTAACACTGCCGAAATGCTGGGAAAACCAGCATTTTCGTCAAATGTGTATAAAAGACACTAGAACTAGCAGTTTTTCTTTTCAAAACGCGTGTATTCTGCAAAATGCTGGTTTTTGCGGCATTTCGGCAGTGTTAACTGTAGTGTTAACTGAGTGTTAACTGAGTGTTAACTGTAGAGGGTTAACTGTAGAAAAGGCACACTATGCAGTTAACACTTATTACTCTGCCGAAATGCAAGGAAAACCTGCGTTTCCTAAAATCTGTCTTACAAGTACCTCGGTCCTTGACACACAGTGACACACCGACACACATGGTGAGATGGTGAGGGATCGATATTGTGGCTTGTCATCACTTGCATATTGCTTACTGTGACAACAGTTTAAGGTACCGACAGGATCCTTCTTGCTGAGATCACCCAAAGTAGCCTGTGTCGTCACTCGACTGTACCACGCTTCCTGTGACGGGTACCATCCACATGCAGACCAAGCCCGATACATGTCCAAGAATGCGATACGGCAAGCTTGTTGGCACGGCTGGTTGCTATAGGTACGACCCAAGACCACGCAAGCCGACTGTGGTAGCAGGCTTCCAGGATGCGACTTTTTTTGCACCCTGACCCGGGTGCTCCACCTCGATCCAAGTCTGCTCCATGCAGCTCCGCGGCACTCCGGTGGGACTCCCACTGGCGAGCTCCTCGTGTATTCTGGCTTAGTGTAAATTCCTTACATTTCCCACAGTTAACGCTCAGTTAACACTCAGTTAACACTCAGTTAACACTACAGTTAACACTGCCGAAATGCTGGGAAAACCAGCATTTTCTTCAAATGTGTATAAAAGACACTAAAACTAGCAGTTTTTCTTTTCAAAATGCGTGTATTCTGCAAAATGCTGGTTTTTGCGGCATTTCGGCAGTGTTAACTGTAGTGTTAACTGTAGTGTTAACTGAGTGTTAACTGAGTGTTAACTGTAGAAAAGGCACACTATGCAGTTAACACTTATTACTCTGCCGAAATGCAAGGAAAACCTGCCTTTCCTAAAATCTGTCTTACAAGTACCTCGGTCCTTGACACACAGTGACACACCGACACACATGGTGAGATGGTGAGGGATCGATATTGTGGCTTGCCATCACTTGCATATTGCTTACTGTGACAACAGTTTAAGGTACTGTTGATGGAGGAAATCTTGCACCAGTTTAAGTGGCCAAGCCAAGCAGACACCCCACGCCCCCTTTTTAACATTGACCGGTGATCCTCGGAAGTGCCGTGGGTTCCAATGACAAAAATCTTGCACCACCTCCGTATCCATCATCTTCAATGTTAAAAAGGGGGCGCGGGATTATGCTCAAGTGTCGTGTCACCTGTTATTAGGCAGATGGTGCAAGATTTCCTCCATCAACCGTAGTACCAGGACATGCTAGTGCGAGTTCTGGTTAATTTTTGCCAAGCAATGGTGGAGACGAGTTGCAAGCTACCAATTACTTAACATGTTTCACAGTAAAAGCCTTATATAGTTTACGTAATTTAGTAATATTACAACTGCCACTATAACACACACACAAGCATGACCACTAAGACCACCACCACCACTAACCCTTAGCACTACTGCTACTGTTGCTGATCTGCCACCACTAATTACCACCACTAACAGCACCAATGCTACTACGACCACTAAGACCACCAACAACACTTACACAGTTGCTGCTGCTGCCAATGCTGCTGCTGCAGCTATGACTTTTTTCTTTTGCTTGCATGGCGATGGCGACGAGGGTGATTACGATCATCACGATGACAAGGCGTCGTTTGGACACGTATATCGTCAGCCTCCGTGCAAAAAAGTAGCGCGACCAACCCCAATCACCAACAAAGTCCAAGATATCGCGGCAGCCAATCTGTTCAGTCAGATGCGCAAAACGGCCCGCCAATTGAACCTGATGCGTTCAGTTGGTTGCAAACCATTCACCAGAGAGTATTTCAATTTTAACCGGATGTTGTGTGCAGTCCTACCGAACTTGAAGACCGACGAGGCATGATTATAAGGCTTCGCCATGGTGTGCATGTGTACAAACACAAGTTGCTCGAATCGTTTCACTGGTTGGTTTGCAGTGTTTTAGCCACTGTTTCTTGTGTAAGCACACAACTTCATGCTAACATGCGTCATACAAAGCAGCCGATGAAGGTCATGCTTGGTGTGGAACAGGTGCAAGCTGACAAACTGATGACATGCCGGTGTTATTGAAAGTTCTTGAACAACGCGCGGTACTAATCAGGCCATGTTGAGAAACCTCTTCTAGACCGAAGCCTTTCGCAGGCAAGTCCGGGATTTGGCGAAGAAAAGCATCAATGGCCAGCTGAGGCCTGGATTGGAGAGCTTGTACGGTGTTGTAAAGGTCGTATAGGTAAATAAGCGTTAACTTCGGCCCCCAGCGCATCCCCGACCCCCAAACATGAAAACCTCAGAACTTCTACACTGCACTTCTACGGCCTCGGCAACTAGTAAACAAATGCAAACCCTTGGCAAGTAGTTTTCCTAGGATTATGCTGAGCCGTACAAGTGGCCTAGCTGCGCTGCATCTTCGAAATGCAATCTGCGTGCTTTGTCTGATATCCCGTATTATGACCATGATCCCTAGAATATGTTCTAATCGTAAACTGACCCCAAATGTTTCCAGAAAACGCATCGGCCTCAACAAACCATCGGTCCTTCTCTACCAATTTTACTAACCACTCCTCAGCGTTCATATTCCCGGTAATCCCTAAACCTGAAACCTTCGCCCTCAAATCATAGACTTCCCAAACCCTGCTCGTAAGCACTTCGCCCTAACTTACCTTTGGTTAGTAGGGAAAGGAGGAATGGGGCACAACTTTGACTACTATTACTAACGGGCAGCCAAGACCGGCTATGCCCATACATAGCCCACGCTAAGCCCGAAGCCGTAAACCTTAAAACCAAACCCGATGCCAGGCTCCTCGGCCGTGTCCTTCGCGCATATCCCTTCCGTGGCGATGAGTCGAAGCCTCAACCGAGCTTTCGGGCTTAGGGGATCCCCTGGCCTGCTGGGTTTAGGGTTTGTAGTGTCTACCAAAATGCCCCAAAGTAGTTTTTTTTTGGGGTTCATGTGTAGAATCCTCTCAGGTCATCCCAAAAAGGAACTACCATGGGGCTTATGCTTATGGGTAAGGAAAAGGGTTTAGGGGGTCGACTTTTGGGTTTAGGATTGGTCATTGCTTGAAGGGAGTTTTTGGTATCGGTTTTGGGTTTTATAGAGTTTACTACGGATACTGGGACTTGTGCCTCTGAGAGGGCCTTCAAGGTATCTGCTTCAGAGCCTTCTCAGATGCTTGTAGAACCCGTATAGACGTTTAGAGCCCCGACAGAGTCACCATTCCTGAAGCCATACGAAGCCCGTTTAGATGGCTCATAAACCGTTTTGTTTACGTACATAGCAAGATAATTGAAACAGTCTGTTCAAAGCATCAGAGCCCTTAGACAAGCCGTGAAGAAGATTGCAAAATTGGAGCACAATCTTTATGGAACGCCTCTATATACCCTTACAAATCATTGTCACCGAAGGAGGGTCTTTCTGCCCTGAGCCCAAAAGCCACTGAACGAGCCCTTCCTGTCATAGCCCTAAATCCCAAAGCCACTGAACGAGTTCTTTTTTGCACGAAGCTTCAGAAGTTCATTTTACAACTTCTAAACTTTAAACCTACACCCTAAATGCGAAATCTTAAAAGAAAATAAAACCGTGCAATGTACCAGGAGCCCCCAATGGCCCTTTAATAGAGCCCTTATGGTCCTTAATGTTGGGTATTTGGGGTATAAGAGAGGGTACTTGGGGGGTCTAGGTACTGTACGCACTAAACTGAGGTCCATCTCAGGTGCCGAGCCGGCTGCACCCCGAGAGGGACCTGGGCTCTGAGGTTAGCAAGCCGTAATGGGTCCAGGGATTTAGGGTTTAGGGCGTAGGGTTTAGGGATTTAGGTTTGGGGCTCTGGGTTTAGGGATTTAGGGCTTCGGGTGTAGGGGTCTGGATGACTGAAATGTGGATATTTTGTTGTTTTCGGGCATTGGGAAGTAAGTGTGCAGCAGTTTGTGACGGAGCAACTCTGGAGATGGGTTTGCTACGTGTGTCTCCAAGCCATGTAGGCCCGTATATATGGCTCGCAGATTTGACACGCCGACGCCTAATGTAGGGCTCGGAATACACAGTAGTAATATCATTCCCTTCTAGTCCCGGAAGATCTATGGCAAAATATCGCCCAAGACCCTATTCCGTTATTGAAGGCCCGTACCAGATACCATTTCTATCCATGCAAGCTACACCCTTCCCCCAAATGCGTAGCCTTTCATCCCAAGTGAGGAAAGGCTTTGAAGATGGCAGGTTTGAAGAATACCTTAAGTTGATTGAAGGCCATGCCAAGGGCATCAACAACGGCACCACCGACCGAGACGTAACGAACTTCATCAACAACGCCATTCCCCCCCCGCCAACCCCTCGAAGCGAATCTGCAAGCTTGCTGCAAGCTTTGCCTGGAGACCGGAGGTAGAGCTTGCAGTTCTTTCCGAAGCCGATGAAGAGCCGCTCGAAGCCAAAGGCTATGAAGATGTTGAGGCAGCCATCGGCAGCCGAGAGGAAGCTGGCGTTCGCTTAACTTGGGGGCCTAAATAATTACCAATTCAATTATGGGAGCTCCTTATTATATGTTTATACAAATGTCTAGTATAATGGCCCCAAAAACCCTATTCTAAGTAGTAAGGCCCCTTTCGTTTCACAGCAAGAGAGGCGATCTCAACCAGGGAACTCGTCGCCGACACCGACATGACTCAGAAACGGCTGTTTCGAGTTCTTTGTAAGAGTGAACTTTTGGCACAATCCTTTGCTACCATTTTTAAACCTCGTGACCTCTGTAAGCTACAACCCGGAAGTTTTTCAAGTGAGGGAGTTTCTGAGGTCTGCTGATCGCCACGCTTGGCCCGGGCCTCCAGGGACCAACCCTACTGCAACCCGAAGCTCTCAAGCCGTGCACCGTAAACCCTAAACGTTTAAAAGCTTCCCCAAACACCTAAATCCTATAAGCCTCGCGATCTCCCAGGTTGCGCCGGCTGCTCCGCCAGCGCGTGCTGCGAAGCGCGACAGGGCGGCCGAGGCGTGTTGTTTTGAGGTTTAGGCCTGAGGGTCCCTTACTGAAGATCTTTACTGCAATTGTCAGAAGTAAGGAACTATCGTGGGACGTAGGCTTGTCATTCGTAGCATATTTCAGTCAAGTGTTAGGAGAAATCTAATCAAGGATAATAGAGTTTAGGAACATGGCAGTTCATTCTCTGAGTATTTATTCACGATATTTCGCAATCAAGGGTGTTCGGGGTTCAGGCTAACGGCTTGGCGTTCAGAAGTTACAAGGTTATAGGCTTCCGGTTTGGGTAATGGGCGCAGATGCAATTGGCTGGCATAGAGCGTCGCAACTCGGCCCCGCCGGCGGCAAAAACCGGCGAGGACGGCCAGACGTTCCTCCCATTCGCCACCTGGCAGCAGCCCAGAGACGGCTTGGTTCACCGACCATAGTCGAGGAGTGTAGCAACAGGTACGACACCTCCGTGCTCTACGAAGCCTTCTCAGATCTTTGCGTGCTGATGGCAGTCCAGAACTTGTGCCCGACTGTGCTGGGGTGCATGGGCGTGCGGCAGCGCATGTGGGCATTGCTCTTGTGCCCTCAGCAGATCCTGCTGATTTGGCCCTCTCTTAAGGGCGTTGTGCAGCTCTTCGGCCGCAAATGAGCCGGCAACATCTCTGACTCCTTTTCAGATCGTGTCCCACAAGGACCTTGACCAAGAGTTGCACGCCGGGTCGCACATAACAACTCAAGACCCAAGCCCGAACGTTGCAGTAATGTCCGTGTCCGTGGCCCACTCTTCGCCATTCATCTCCACCGCTGGGGTTTGAAAAAACCCAGGCCAGTTAGCCCGAAGCCTTGAGCTGCAAACTGTTAAGTCATGTTTTATAAATCCGAGGCATACGTCCTCAACACTGTAACAACCCCTGAGCCTGACGCTTCAGCCCAATCTCCTACACCCTAGGACCTCTGCCCTGCATTCACAAGTTTAGTGCTGAGGGTCTAAACTCTAAACCATACTATCACCCTAAAACCATGAAGCCTCAAACCCTCAACCCGAGCATGTTGGGGTCACGGCGGTTTTTTGCAGGAGGGCGATGCGGGAGGCGCCGGAAGTAGCTGCTGCCCTGGGAAAGTCGGCCTTTGCCGGTGCGTCATGCTTATGCCCCTGAGATGTTCAAGTATTCCCCTGTTTGAAGCTAAGTCTCTACACCCTACAAAAGCCTTGTATAGTTCAGAGAGGTTGATTGCCCAACTGACTTTCAGAGTGCATGGGCGTTCGAAGCATTTCGGCTTTGAAGCAAAAGCCAGAAAGTTGGAATATCATTATCGTAACCCCTTTAAGGTAAAATATAGGGGATCCTACCATTAATCCATATTCCAACTTTCTGGAGTTCCCTTTAAAGGTATTCCGGGACGCAGAGGAGAAGGGGCTTCGGAGGGCCAGGGAGAGTTGCGGAGTCAGTTGTTGCTGCTTATCAAACTCCCTATAGTCTCCATTGTAGTTCCTTTTTTTGGTTAAGCAGTTTTATGGCTAGGATCCTATATTAGAGATTTTGGTTAACCAAAAAAGGAACTACAATGGAGGCTATAGGTCGAAATAGAATATGATTCCGATCAACAGGGCACCACCACACTCAGCAGCCTCATCTTGCTCCTTGAAGACTGCGCCTCAAGGTCCCCTCGCCGATGCGACTCCTACTTAAAGGATCATGGGACTTAGTAACTATAGGGTTAACATTAGGGTAACTGTACTTATAACCACTTTTTACCCCAATTAAGGTACTTATAACCTTACTTACTAAGTCCCCCTGATCCTCCAAGTAGGAGCTGTAGGAGCTCCTATACCAACGCACGTTAGCAGGAGGTCGCAATTGCATCCTTGGGTTTCGATGGTCACTTGGACACTACCGGCCTAGGGTTTAGGGTTGACATTACTAGCAAATTACTGCCCCTCTTTGAATATTGCATGCGTACATCGTCAGCAGCTCCCTGAACCCACTGTTAGCGCCACCGAAGCTAGAGCCACTGCCGATCGAAACCCGTGCCGAGGGTCGCCTCAGGCGGCAGGGCTCGGTGGGGACTGCGCCGACGGCGGGGCCTTTCGTGCGGGCATATCCGGCTTCGCCTTTGCCGGTGTCCTGGCTCCGCCATATGATCAAGGTTCAGGGACGCAGCCCGCGGGCGTCGACGAGGACGACGCCACCGCCGGCAGCCGTCAACATGGACAGGCCCGACTGGATGTTTCCGCCGGGAGCTCGCCCCACCGATCCACAGATGCCTTCGTCGAGCTCGACGGCAGAGCGGAGCGAGACCCCGGGCACGAGGGAGTCCTCGACGGTCCGACGACCGCATTCGCCAGATCGAAGCCAACATGAGCGACGAGTACCGTCGGCACAAAAAGGACATGCATAAGGTCGGCGCAAGGGCGACCGACGAAGCGCCGGGAGCAGTCCGGCACCTTAAGCAGACGTCGCTCCTGTAAGGAGGAACCCTAAGAATCCTAAAAGAACCCTCAATCCCAAAGCCCGAAACCGCAAGCCGCAAACTCCGCAAAGCCCGCGCCCTTCTAGGGAAACCCTTATGCCCAACTTGAACACAAAAGGGGGGGCGTACCACGCTAATAACAGAGACCTCTAAACCCCCTAAACTCTGAACCTCTTCATAGTGTGAGGTTCTTGTATGACCTTTTAGAAAACCCCCAAGGAGACAGAGTCCTTGCACAAGAGAACCATTACGCTGTGGCCTGTTCCACTGTGTGTACCTAAACTTCCTAAACACTGAAGCCCCCTTAACCCCTTCAGCGCAAACCTGGAACTGTACAACAGCCAGGATCCCTCACAAGGGCCCCGTGTAGTACCCCTTAGAGATCCCTCATGCTACCCCTTATTGTAACCCTTATAGATCCCTTATACTACCCCTTATAGATCTCTTGCAGCCCCCTCAGATCCCATTGTCATAACCGCACAATATAGGGGCCTAAACAATTGCCAATGCTACATATTCGGGGTTCCTTATTATATTTATAGCATAATGTGCCCCAAAACCTATTACAATTAATAAGGCCCCCATATTTGAAGCCCCCATTATACCCCTTATAGTAATCCTTATAGACCCCTTTAAAGGAGCCCTTTAAAGCAACCCTCCCCATATTCAAAGCCCCAAAGAGCGTGACGACCCTCTCTCTGGCAGGCCACCGGCCGAAGGCGCCCAGGACTGGAGACGTAGGTTTCGGGTTTACTGCTTTAAGGTTTGGGGTTTAGGGGTTTAAGGTTTAGGGGTATAAGTTTAGGGTTTGAGGTTTAGGGGTTTATAGGGTTGGGGGTTTAGGGCTTAAGGCTTATAGTTATAGGGTTTAGGAGTTAGGGTTTGGGGTTTAGGTTTGGAGGTTGTGGGGGTTTAGGGTTTAGGGTTCTGGCTAGGAGTTATAAGGATCTAGAACACATACGGGATCACCTGTGTCTCTTGCTTTGCCTCTCGGTGTCTATCTGTTTTCCGGGGCAGGGGCCGATCGGTTTTGAGTTGACGGCTGTGGTTTTTTGAAGCTTTCGTCCTTGACTGACCCCAAGGGTCCAAATACTCAATAATCATATATTCTCCCAAATCCTAACCTACATAATTCCTAAAACCGAGTACCTGATAATTATTTGGTTCTTTGGACCCTTGGGGTGATTGCCGCTGTGCGTCTTGCGGTCGGAGTCTAGGCTCCTGCATGCCTCAAATGCAACAGAGACGGACACGTGGGGGGGCTTACCTCCCGCTTGGGCTCATTCTGGATGTTCAGCATAAGTATGGGGTGCAATACTTACAAAGATAGAACCTTAAGTTTGCGACACATAGTTCAGGATGAAGGCGCGAGAGGATCTGGTCGTCGTACAATTTGGTGCCGGTGTGCCAATGAAGCCCCATAAGCATACACAAGGCATCGGCATCGTACATTGTTGTAGCTGTTTCCAGTGTGTTTTCGAGATCAAAGTGTTCTACTGTTCTTCTGGGTTTAGGGTCTTCGGGCGATCGGGGCAAAAACGTGGTTCGGGGTTTAAGCCCTTTAGGATAACAGAAGAGGAATCTGTGCACTGTGCACCGCGCCGCCTGATGGATCAAGAGGGCACATGCAGGGCATTTTACCATAGGGGCCTTAAAATTATTACCTATACTGTTTTGGGGGTTCCTTATTATAAATATAGTAAAATATTTCCCAAAACCCTAATTATTCTAATTATTAAGACCCCTATACTAAGTTTTCATTGTACCCCTTATAGTAATCCTTGTAGACCCCTTGAAAGGAACCCTTTAAAGGAACCCCCTTCTAGTTATAAAGGTCCCTATACTAAGCCCCCATGATACCCCTTATATATATATATATATATATAGATAGACCTTTTTTCAAGGAACCTTTTAAAGGAACCCTATTCTAATCAATCATTAAGGCCCCTTTGTGTCAGGCCCCATAGGAGAACTGTCAACCCCAAGTCCTCAGCCCCTCAGCCCTTTAAGCCCTAAGGCCCGTAGCCCTTAAATTCTAAAGCCCCAGAGTCTAGAGCCTCAGCCGTAAAGACGTAAGAACTATAAATCAAACCAGACACTGAGGCTCAAAGTGTCCAAAATCCTCATGTAGCATGGTCTTTGAGGCCAAGAGCCGTAACCCTATCGGATGTCGGCCCCTCATTTGTTCTCTCAGCTCTCGGGTACACGATAGACCTTTGACTCGAAGCATTCAAACCTGCACTCTCACAAATGCGGCCGATCATGAGATCTGCCGAACTCTAGACCCCGTGGTGCTATGGAGAATCAGCCCGCTGGACCCTGCCATTTTTTTGATTGGGGGGAGGGAAGCCGGGGGGGTGGGGGGAGGGGGGTAGTTTTGGTGCTAGGGTGTGGGGTTTAGGGTTTGGAGATGAGGACTTTCGGGTGTAGGGCGCAAGACCGGTGTATGATGAGCCTTGTACTTGAAGCTTAAGACTTGGCTTTGAAGGTTGACCGGGTCTTGCAAGCCGAAACCCCTAAACCCAAAACTCCAAACCCGCCGCCCTGAAAGCGAACCCAAGAAACTAAACCCAAAGCCCCTGAACCCTGAAACCTCCAGGTAGGTGAGTTGCATCAGCCGCTTATTTCTTTTGTAGCTCAACTGCCCACACCTGGTTCCTGTTCCTATAGACCCCCCCCCAACTACCCTCGAGTTTACCCTAAACAAAGGGCTCTATGGGCCATTGCGGGGTCCTGGTTTAGAGCAAACTAATGAAGCAATGCCCTTATGCAGAAGGCCAATGCAGTGAGCAACGTCGGACTTTACGGTGAAGGGAGTATACAGTTTAGGATTTGGTGAGTGTATCGAACACCGACGGAGCTATGTCAAAACTTAGCTACCGGTTCCATTGGCTTTGCAGCTCCCTGAGTACGTTTTTTTGTCACGACCTACGTCGGACCTCGTGGCTGCTTCAAGTCCAGCAATCTTTGACGAACCTTCACACAGACAAACCCTTAAAAGTGAGAGTTTCCGAAAATAGGGAAGGAACCCTAATATAAATACCCGAAATAGTAGGATCCCTATTATAAGCGCCCCAAAACAAAGTACCCCTCATTTTCGTAAACCCTCGAAGCTCGAGCCTGCAGCACCGTTTATCTTACCTTTGGTTAGTAGGGAATGGAGGAATGGGGTACAATTATAACTAGTATTGCTACCATTCTTCCATTCCCTACTAACCAAAGGCAAGTTATTGCAACTGAAATTTAAGTAATACTTGTTTTTCCTGTAACGGTTTGGGGGGTGGGGTCCGTGTTACCCTAAACCTGAACCCTGAATGCTGCACTTCGTACACTCCAAATTCCCGAACTCTCCCTAAGGCTCCGTGTACCCTTCTAGCATATACTTAAGCCTTAAAGTACCTATATAGGGACCCCTTTAAGGCCTAAGTATCTACTATAAAGGTACATGGAGCCTTTGGGTCTAAACCCCGCAGAGGACTGCGCCTTTTGGGGATTGTTCTCTTCGCACCTCAATCGTGCCTGTCGCAGCTACTGCGGAGCTTTCCAGAAGAAGAGGCGTTATCTGGAGAATCCGAGTTCTAGACTTTCGAGAATATGTTTTTAGCCCTGGGGGTCCAAGTACCTCATAGTCATAAAGTTGCCCAAAGCACTCACCTACGTACTATTAATAACTTCAGTCTTGGGTCCTTTGGAACCTCTGGGTAGTGTTCCAAGTTCAGGTCATCTGGACTATTCTTAGTTCAACAAGTCCTCTCGAAGAGCCTACCGCCCTTCAAACCCTGATATACGGTTGGGGTTATGCTAAGATCCTGTGATACATCAAAGTAGCCAAACAAGGGAATTACGACGGAGACTCTTGGCACAGCCTCAAGCACCATAAGTCCCTTCCCTCCCTCCTTCTGTCTTCGTCACTGTCTCTCTCTCTCTCTCTCTTTTTCTCTCTCTCTTTTTCTCGCGCTCTCTCTCTCTCTCTCTCTCTCTCTCTCTCTCTCTCTCTCTCTCTCTCTCTCTCTCTCGTCGGAACAACCTGTTATCATGCGTATACACGGCGGCTGCATCATGCATCACATGCTTATCTTGTCGGTCTTACTGGTCTTGCCAACCCCCGAGTAGTGTTTTGCCTCCCAAACTTTCCCGCAAACCTGAAGCCTAAACGCTTCAACTGCTAACCATGAAAACTCCACACCCTCAGAGGTGAAAACTGTCAGAAAGAACCCAAGCTTTCCTCAGCAGGCTGCGGAGGTGGCGAAGGAGTTCCGATTATGATTTCGGGATGTTGGACAGATGTCCAAAATAGTTTCCAGGAGTTGAGTAGTAGGCAACGCCTCACCATTTTCGTGGTACGATCATCACATACATACCAGTGAAAGTGCTCGTCTGCCGGCCAGTGAACTACGCAACTAGGATAGCCTTGGGATATGAACCAGGGATCTGCAGAGCTTTGCAGACTAAGAGCACCCTAAACCCTAAACCAAACAGCGTCTACGGTGACGTAGGAGGAAGCTGATGTGTTTTTGGGGTTCAGGGCGAGTGGAGGGCTGATTTCGGGGGAATATGCGGCCACCATGCTTTACTTGCTGCTGGCCGGTGGCAGTGGAGCGTTAGGGTTTATAGGGTTTAGGGTTTAGGGAGCGACTCATGAGGTTTTGCCGGCCGTTCTACTGCGGCTGGGATGTAGCCTGGCGATCCGGGAGTTGTACCCGACATATTGGCTCTTGTTATTCATTCCTGACTTAGGCCTAATGGGGTCAACTGGATGACTTTCGCGAACACCCTCCAAACATCCACATGCATCGAGTGCTACATAGCAACATGCAAGGTGCTGTGTGTAGTGGAAACCAACCATACAGACGAGAACCCTCAAACAGTTTCCTCGGACAACAAAATGGGAGTTTCCAGAAATAGGGGACCCTAATATAGTACCCTAAATAGTAGGATCCTTACTATAAGGACCCCAAATAAGGTACCCCCTATTTTCGGAAACTCCCAAATGCAGCCGGAAAGCAATCAACATCACAAAATCGCTCAACGTCTGATTGCCGTGTAATCAGACCTCAAGCCTTATCTAGACCCCCAACTACCCTCTACCATAAGGACTCCATTTAAGGGCCATTGGGGGTCCTGGTAAACTGCAAACAAACATTCGCGGCTCGAGCACCAACTCCTTTTCGGGATGACCAGAACTGCCCGAAAACCCTGGCTAGTGCAACACTGCTGGGAATCCCGCCCATGTTGTTTTTCTTTCATGTCGTTGCCACAGGACTCGACGACAACCGAAGTGCAAAAGTGACACCCCAAGTGACTGCAATCCTGATTGTTATTCCTACGTCTTCAAAGTTCCGAGCTGAAGCCAGATTCCCACCTTGACGACTTCATTATAGCCCCTTATTATCTCTTCATCAGGAATATGAGACATCTGTCAGCGGAGTTGGGGAGGGCGGGGGTTCCTGTTGAACTCTATCCTTGCACTACAAAGCTACATGTGACAGCCCCGGGTGTCCACGAACTTGTGCAGGACCCGGCGCTGGGATTCAAGCTCTTCCGCCAGGCGGAGCCCTTTCCAGGGTGTTGGGTTCCACGGCAGGGTAGGAACATGAGCAATACTATTCCCCAAAGGGTCCTATGTATCGATATAGTAGAATGTAGGGTTTCCATATTAGGTATTACTATTATGATTTAGGGAAGTATCCCCCCCATAACAGCACAAAGGACCCTTTGGGTTCGTAAAGCCCATACACTCTCATCACAATCCTAGAGGCTCCACATATAGTACCATTATGGAATTAAGTCCCCAAAGCCATGATATGGATGGTCTTTTGGGACCTAATTCCATAGTGGCACTATATGTGGAGCCTCTGGGAATGTAATGTAAAGTGACACTCGTCGGTGGAGCTCCGGGTTCGGGTCTGGGGTTGCATCAAGGGGCAGCCTTACTTACAGATGCTTGCATTTCCTGCATGTCCTTAAATCCTGACCCCTACTTGAAGGATCATGGGACTTAGTAACTAGGGTTATAATTAGGGTAGCTATACTTATAACTACTTATAACCCCACTTAAGGTACTTATAATCCTAGTTACTAAGTCCCATGATCCTCCAAGTAGCCCCTCCCCCGCGATGCTACGAGCAATGACTGCTTGCTTCGATTTGTCCGGGCTCTGCGACTCGAAGCTTTAAAGAGTCTTGCGAGGAGTGTTTGGGGTTGGGGGGTCTACCCCAAACTCTCAACCCGCTAGGTTTCCCCAAAAACCTAAATAGTTTCTTTGAATTCCCCCAGAGACTGTAATCTCTGAACCTTAAACACCCCGGTAGACTAGTCTGCAATCATACACCCTTCATAATCTAAATGGCTTTAAATGACTCTACGGCTCCAGTTATCTAAATAGTAGGTTACTGACCATATTATGTACCCCAGTAACCTACTATTTAGGTAACCTAAATGTTTTAGAATAGTTTGTGGTGTTGAGCTAAGGCTCTCCAGCCTCTAAAACGTCATACCTTGTAATTTTAGGGTTTGGGGTTCAAGTATCCCCAAACCCTAAGCCTTCACACCCTATATATATATATATATATATATATCTATATGGGTTCCTCATAAGGACTTGTTGACGGGTCTTCAAAAAGGCAGGGCCGCTTGTCTGGAGGGGGGGGTAAGGTAACATTTCAACCCTACGCCCAGACTAAAACCCTCGAACGCCGAGTCACAGGCCCTCCGTCGCTTCCGGCTGGCAGGATCCAAGGCTCTGCTGTATTTGCTTTGTCACAGTTGGGTAACGTGTCATGTCTTTATGCATACCTAAACGGAATAAGGAACCAAAATGTAAGTTTGGCCGAGAGTTTGGTCTGGCTTGGCTGGGGGTGGTTTTTGGTTGAGTGAGGTGAGGGTTTGCGTTCCAGATGTCATGGATGGAGAAATCTACTATTTGCTTAAGAAACCCCCAAAAAATAAAAATAATAATCCCTAGTACCCCCATAAGGAATATATTTTTTATTTTTTTGGGGCTCTTAAGCAAATAGTAGAAATGTTTGTTATTCCGCTTGGGAGTCCCTGGACCGGAGGGTTTCGGGTTTACGGGGCTTAGAAAACCTAAACTTCCCCGGGTCAGAGATGCCCTGGGCCGATCAGTCTCGTAATGGGTGCGGTAGTTAAGGTGCGCAAAAGAATCAATTCACAACCCCCCGAATGTCTGAATCCTAGTCCATTAAATCGTAGGTCCAGTAAGAAAATTACACTCTAAAGTCCTCAGCCTAAAACCCGAACTGTCAAGAGCAGCAGGTAAATAAGCCGGAGCAAACCTCAACAACGAACGTAGAGACGACTTTCGGGTTGCAACGGCACGTTTTGGCCACGTCAGTAGGACCCTGCTTGCCCTTTTTATTTTAAGGTTCCCTTCTAAAAAACTGAACACCAGGAACTACCCTAAACCCAAAACCCCAAAACCGCCCAAAATAGGGTACCCTTGGGTGCCCTTAGGTTTAAGGGGTAGCCGGGGACCTCATCGACCAGACCTGCGTCTGAGAATCGCTCGAAGGGTGCCGACTCCAAAGCAGGTAACGTAGGGGCCTAAATGATTACACACATTCTTTTGCTTAGGGTTCCCTTTGGTAGGTGTGCTTTTAAATGTAGGGGCCCAAATGATTGCTAAGATTATTTAGCTTAGGGTTCCTCTTTGTAAGTGTACTTTTAAAGGAGCCCCACAAACTTCTAGTTATTAAGGGGCCCTACATTACCGCTTCTGGAGCACCTCTGCCCGCCGCCACATGTATGTCACGGAGCTTTTTGCAGAACTGTACTTAGCGATCATCAGCACAAGTGCCCCGTCATGGCCGCAACATTGAGCAAGGTTCTCAAAATCATGCCGAAAACCTCACACTCTGTACGTACATTAACCCTTCAGCAGTAAATAATCACTCGTTTCCCTGAAGCCCTATACCTAAGAGTCCATATACACTACTATTATGGAATTAGGCCCCCCGAAGCCATAATGTGGATGGTCTTTTGGTGCCTAATTCCATAATGGTAGTGTATGTGGACCCTCTGGGATACCCAGCGAATCCAGACTCCCGGCCTTCAAACCCCGAAGAAGCCTGATTGCAGAAACCCTATCATATCTTTGAGGAAGTCGTAGTATACAGTTCCCTATACTCGAACACGACTCTACGGGTATCAAGAGATGTGCGAGTCAAGCTGCAAAAATACGAGTAGTTTCTTAGGGTGGGAAGAAGTGGTAGCCGAAACCCGAACCCCAAACCCTAAACTGGTATCCCGGGTAGTCCAGGGTGTGCCGAAGACGACGACTTTTCTGGGCAAGGCCCTGCCGCCAGCAGATGACGAGGCCGTGAGCCTGCATGAGTCCTATTAAGATGATGAGTATGGTTGTGCTTATGCGCATGCCGTAGTTGAAGCTGAAGATGGAGTTGGATGTGGTTGCAAGTTCATGGTGCTGACAGTTATCATGGTCATGACAATGACAGAGGTGATGCTGATGGAGAGTAGGAAGGAGCCACGCTTCCGTACTGCTCAAGAAGCTCAGTATGGTTTACGTTCGCGTTAAGCAAGATCCATCAGTGAAGGGCATTTAGGGTTGTCTGGGTGCCCTCTTTGCAAAAGCCATGTTCCTCGACATCCCCGAATCCACCCATTGTGTGGTTCTTAGAGAACCGACCCTGAATTCGAGAAACCTAGGCTCCCAACCCTCATATCTAGATTTAGGGATTTAGCGCGGTGTCCGTAATGTAGGAACCTGATTAAGAAACCCTGGCCCTATACTATAACTTTTAACCCCCAATATATGAGGATGCATATAAGGAGCCCCAATAAAGACCCGAGGTTTCTTAATCAGGTTCCTGCGTTAACCCTGAGTCCTTTAAGCCACATACGCTCTACCAAAGCCATGGCAGACACGACTTTGACCGTACCCAAACGCTTCAGCCGCCCAAGCCGATGCTTTTTAGCAGGAGACCTGAACCCCACTCCCTGAACCCTTAGTTACGGTTTGTAACCATAAACCCTTAACCCTCAACCCCTAAACACTAACGCCATGGCAGGATCCCGCCATTCTTATTCAGAAGGCGCACGCGCAGAGCTGTGCTTTGGGAGGGTTTAGCGTGCGAATCCAGGGTTCAAAGTCGAGTGTGTTTAGGAGTTACGGCTCGGGGACATTGCTGCATCCGAAACCCCTCAACTCGAGACGGCAAGCCCCAAGCCAAGGCTAGACCGCTTTTTTAGCAGCTTGTCGTGATTACTGCCGGTTTGAGGTTGGGTTTAGCGTTCAGGTTGATGGCGAAAGGTCATGGTTAAGCTTAGTTAGGGTTTACGGTATCTGTCGTTTGGACGACACTTCGCCCGAACTTAGCAGAGTTTTGTTGTTTGGGGTTTAGGGTCAAGGGTTTTTGAGGTGTTACAAAGAACAGCCAGGTGGCCAGAGCGACTGCGAGGTGGAAGGCTGTCCACGGCGCCAAACCGGTGCCAGACGCCTCCACGAAGCCAAGAGGCTGGCCGGGCTGCTACAGAGCAGCGGCGCTCCACAAAGCCCCGGCAGCCACCAGGTGGTACCACCACCTCCCCCCGCAGGCGTCTCCAACCCGCCGGCCGTAGTGGAGCTGGTGCAGCTCCCCAACATGGTCACACGTTTCAAGGCCTTAAAGCCCCTGCGCACTGTGGATCTTCAGGCGAACACGGTGATCATTCCATGGATTCTCGGACTCACACTCCGGCACGAGTATGGCAACGGTACTGTCTCCTCTTGTCTTAGGCTGGAAAACCAAAACATAACAACAGTTTAAAAAAGGTCCTCCAAGAAGAGTCCAGTGTTGGGAGGCCTACAAGACTGACCCGGAGGAAGCCCTGGAGCAGGCGGGGATGGACCGGCAGAGCCGAATACGGTTTGATTTAAAGAAGACGGTTCAGGGTTTAGGCCTGGGCATTCCCTACGCTGCAGAAGGTGTATGAGTATTGCGCCTTCCGATGATCTGAACATGTGATTTAAGTGGTAACAGTATCCAATTATACTCCGTAAATAGTGCGAGTGCAACATACCCCTAAACCCTAAACCCTGAACCCCAAAACCCTATTGTTTTGTGTTATGAATGCCCTTGTCTGCAAGGGTTTAGAGGCTAGGAGGTGCCCCACCCCAGGAGCTGCAGCGGTTTGGGGTTTAGCGATGTTTAGGAGTTATAGAGTTTCGGCTTGAGGGTTTTAGGGTTTTTAAGTTTAGTAGCAATTCAGGGATTCCTGGGTGAGAGTCTTTTTGCATTCTTGACGCTTGATGGTGAAGGATTTCAACCTGGGGGTGTTAGACAGACTTTTCCGGCTTTGCCCACCGTGCAAGCGTGCTTGGAGGTTCCGTTGCTAAGGTCTGGCGGGTTTGGTTTGGCAGTTCTGGGTTTGTTCATGAAGGGGCCCTCGGCCGTCTGCTTGGATGCTCCACATGTCATCCTACTTAGAGGATCATGGGACTTAGTAAGTATGGTTATAAGTAGGTTATAATTAGGATAACCCCACTTAGGGGACTTATAACCCTAATTATAACCTAGTTACTAAGTCCCATGATCCTCTAAGTAGGCAGCTTTCTATCCACGGCCGAAGAACTAAGAGATGGGCTTTGTCACACGGTCCAAACCCCCGACAGGAACCCCCCGACATTCCTGCAACAGTTTGAAAACTGAAGGGAAACCTACGTACGATGATCCGACCAACTTGGTACAAATCTTGGAGATTAAGTAGTAGAGGAGGTATCCAGTGACCTTTTTTGGGGTACTATAACCTATAGTCCGCATATTATAGTCCCAAAGGTTGACCTTCATTTCCCTAGGATACGGGGCAAGTAAGGAATCCTGGGCTATTGGGGTTTCAGGTGTAGCGAAGCTTTTCATCGACGTTGAGCCATGAAGGTGTGAAGTTCACGGATGTCGGCTTAGAGCTTAGGGTGGGGGCGCCTAGACCGTACTGTTGGTGATATAAATCCTGCATTACCTTCAGGACCCTAAACTATGGGAATTATGGTAAATTCCTTATTGTGGGGAATGCAGGATTTATATCATCAACCCTATTTTCCACGCCCAACCCCACAAACTCCACAGGTCCTGCGCTTCTATCAGAGAACGGGCCTCGAGGACTTGCTGCAGAGCTGGAAAGTTCTATTTCGGGTTTCCTGAGCCTCCAATATCCCTCAGCTAAGGAATATACCTTAAATCATAGTAGGGATCCTTCAGATCATATGATTTAAGGTATCTTCCTTAGCTGAGGGATATTGGAGTCTCTGGGATTTCGGGTTTCCTGAGCCTCCAGCCCCGACTATACCGTTCTGAAGAGTCGCTTTGGTCTACTTATGGCACAGTATACGCCCAAAAACGAAGACAACACTGAACGACGAGACCCCCAATCCCGACTCTACATACCCTCCCTTCAGAGTTACTATACTAGGTATCAATTTGGGATAACTTTCAATTTCCCTTATTGTCGAGTATGGAGCTCAAGAAGGAGATCCTTTTGGGGCCTGTTGAAATCGACACACCGAAAGAGCCGCTACAAAGTCAAAAGGTGCTGCTACTGTTGATGATATAAATCCTGCATGACCTTATTTAAGGACCCTAGACTATGTGAATTATGGTATATTCCTTATTATGGGCCATGCAGGATTTATATCATCAACCGTATCAGTGGACAGGAGGAGTCGACCAAGATCTGCGAGGCCGTGGCTTTGTTCCTCGGGCCGTTTCTTGCCGAAAAGATCCGGTGGTTTTGAGTTTAGGGTTTGGGGTTTAAGGTTTAGGGTTTAAGTTTTAAGGTTTAGGGTTTAAGGTTTAGGGTTTAGGGTTTAAAGTTTAGGGTTTAGGGTTTAAGTTTGAGGTGAGGGGGGGAGGGCAGGTCTAGGGTTTTGTATGGGGCTAACAAGATCCGGTGTTTGTTGTTTTCTTTGTTTGAGGGCGGAGGGAGTTTAGGGTGTCAGCTTCAGGGTTCAAGGGGTGGTGTTTAAGATTTGCGCTCTAGAGTTTAGGGTTTACGCTGCAGGATAGAGTACTATAGAGCTTAATGAGGGGATGTTCATCCCAGGGCCGCAAGGTACAACCATCCCAGCAACGAGGTGTCAAGTGCAACCCTGTTGAGAAGCCATATGTTTGGGATTAATTACTTTGTGCCGTGGAGCTGGCTAAACCGCAAACCCCAAACGGGCTGTGCGGCTGAAGACTTTGGTTCCGGGCAAAGTCTCTGTCGCTAGCTTTTGCGGCGCCGCACCCAGAGAGCCCAATACACCAATTGTGAACTTACCTGTCAAATCATGATACTAAGCCCCCGTCTCCCACATGTTTTAGGTATCTTCCATACTTCCGGTGCTCTTTTGGCTCTCTGGGTAGCTTCAAGAGTCCCCAAACCCTAAATCCTAAGCCCCAAATCCTAAAGCATAGAATCAAAACCCGAAAAGCCGGATCCTCAACCCTAAACCCCAAACCCTGGGCCCTAAACCGCGTCCACACACGTCACTCGGTCTCAGGAGCAGAATCTTAGGAACAACCCCAACCCCATAAAGCCTTTGAAAGCGGCACAAAACCCGATGGAAACTCCAAACTCATTGTCTAATCTTTCAAGGTTAGAAGAGCACGAAAGCTTTCTGTCAAAGCTGATGCGAAACCGTGCAACATCGTCGTGATGACAGCTGTCAATGTTGGCCAAGCGCAAGATCTAAAGGCTTGGGGCTTTTAGAAGTTGGCGTTTCTACAATGGGCCTGCAAGGGGATCACGGTTCTGGGTCTTGCTTTTAGGGACTTCCACAGAGGAAAATAATGTCACAGTTACAACAGGGAACCCCAAGCCCCAACTCCTGAACCCTAAACCCCCAGCCCCAAACCCCTGAGTTCCACACCTTACATTTCTTACACCCTAAGCCCTAAACCCTCAAATCAAAAGCCTCAATTAAATCCCAAGCCGGCCCCAAGCCCTAAACCCTTGAATTCTGAACCTTCAGCCGTACCTAGACCTTCAGTAGGTAAAATAATGGTCCAAAACCTCCAAAGGGCTATTATTCTACAGACTTTTGGGGTCCAGGTAAGCCTTAAACTTCATGCGACGAATCCCAGGAAACGCCTGGACGACCGCTTCGGTTGCCAGGGCCTCACGGCGATGCACCTTGCGGCTCAAAAAGGCCAAGGGGAGCACTCCGGTTGGCGTTTAGGATTTAGGGTTTGGGGTTCCTCGTTTAGGGTTTATAGGTATGGTTATCACCAAGTTACTACGATATAATAAAGCATTTTGGGCTAGAATAATAGTATGCATGGTTAGCATAGTCTCGTGTAGTATGGTTATTACTATATCATTACGGTACATTGAAGTCTCTTTTTGGCCTAGTATATTATGGGTAGTACAATGTTCTACTATTGTGAGTTATGATGGTGTTGGTGTGGGCACGGTGCTGGTGCTGAAAATGGTCTTGGCTTTGGTACTGGTGTCGGGGTGTCGGCGTAGGGGTGCTTGCAGCGGTGTTGGTGTTGAAATGATGGTATTGATGTTGATGTTGTTGCTACTGGTGTGACTGCTTATATAGTTGTTAGTGTTGGGTTTGGTCTTGCTGCTGCGGCTGCCGCCACATACATATTATATATGTATATGTATATATATATATATATATATATATATATATATGTGTGTATATATATATATGTATATATATATATATATATATGTATATATACATATTTATTTACTTATTTACTTATTTATTTACTCACGAAGTTGCTTAATTCGTTATGCACGCCTAAATCATAGTATCTAATTACCATCACTGCCACCAATTCTCTCAGCTATGTGGCCATGCTAGTAGCGATCGGTTTATGTACCAGTGCCGTAAGCCGCTGCCACCTCCGCATCCAAGCACCTTTTGTCGCTGCATATACCGAAACCGCTTGGTCCCAAGCCCCTACTTAAAGGATCATGGGATTCAGTAACTAGGGTTATAATCAGGGTAACTATACTTATAACTACTTATAACCCCCATTATGGTACTTATAACCTGACTTATTAAGTCCCCTGATCCTTTAAGTACATCTTGATGTAAAGGCCTTCAGACCCCCGTACCTTAATTCCGAAGGCCCTTTATGTGAACCCTCGGCGCCAGGCGCGGTGCACATCATCAAAGTCCTCCTGAACCATCGCGCGTCAATGGAAAAGGCAGACATGGACCAGAGGACTGTAGCGTTTAGAGCTCAGGGTTCAGGGTCTACGTTGACCCTAAGAACCCTACTAGCCTCTACACACTGAACACTTAAACCCACACGCACACCCACAAAATCCTCAACTTTGAGACCCTAAATCCTATAAAGCCCTTATAGAACCCTTTTAGTATCCCTTAAAGGAGCCCCTTAAAGGATCCCTATTTGAGACGTTCGACCGCTGAAGCTCAGAGGACACCCCTTCATGCAGCGGCAATGGCCGGGCAACTGAAAAGTGTTCAGTGCCTTCTGGAGGCAGGGTTTAGGGGTTCAGGGTTTATAGGGTTTAGGGTTTAGGGTTTATAGGGACAAAATAGAAGGGTATGGGGCATGCGGTACAGTTATGTGGTTTACATGTTGCTGAAGGTTTAGGCCGGCGACACCCAGAGGGTTTTGGGCGTTGCCTTTGATGAATGAAAGCCTTCGGGTCCGGGGTTTTGGTTGTAGCTTTAGGTGGTGTGCAAGGGTAATTTTCGCAGTCTTTTTTGTCTAAGGCTTCACAAGTATGGCCCTGCAAGGTTAGAACATGGATTTGTAGTTTACCGTTCACCAGTTTGCTATAAGGGGCGTAGGGTTTGTGATGTAGAATTTCTGGGGGAGCATCAACATAGTTCTCTCAGGTTGTGTTGTTGACAGGGGATGGTGAAAGTCCGGGGCTGGGTAAACACACCATCATGGATGCAAACACCTTTTTGTATAACTCTAGACCTGTGTAGGAGTCAATCAGCACTTAAAGGGTCATGGGACTTAGTAACTAGGGTTTATAATCAGGGCAACTATACTTATAACTACTTACAACCCCAATTAAGGTACTTATAACCTTACTATTACTAAGTCCCATGATCCTCCAAGTAGACCCTAAACCCTTATAGATCCCATTATAGGAGCCCTTATAGATCCCTTTTAAAGGAACCCTAAACCCTAATTATAGCCTTACTTACTAAGTCCATGATCCTCCAAGCAAGCCCCCACCTGAACCAGGCAAAGGCGAGCGCTGCAGCTTGCGACAAGGCGGTGATTCAGATTTCTCCGAGATTCCTCAAACCCTAAGGCCCAAAATAGCCCAAAAGCCTTACATAGTATGGTCTTCGGGCCTTAAAGCCTTAAAATATGAGTCCTTAGAGCCTAAGGGAAAGGGTTCTACAGGAGCTCTTTGATAAGCCAGAAAACCCTACGCCGCACACAAGCCCTTAGTAGCTGAGTAGGTCACCTTTAGCCTTTTGGATCCTTTCATGATCCTACCGTAGTGGAAAAGGTTAACCTTTCCCTAAACCCTAAACCCAAGCCTGAAAGCCCTGAACCTCAAAACCCCGCCGAAGAAGACCTCGACCTTCGGCCCTCGCCCTCATCAAACCCTCGGTCTTTAGGTTTACGAGCATTGTCTAGGTATACCAACAGCCCCCCCCCACCCCAACTGCTTTCTATGATGTGGTGTAGGGTTTAGGGTTGATACCCTAAATAAGTACCCAGTATATTGCAGACCAGAAGGGCTCCATTCAAGGGTAATTACTTGGCTGGTGCTGGGGAGGGTTTGGGTTTTTTGTAGGGTTTTCAGCCCATACGCCGAACCTCCCCAAATCCGAACCCCTGAATTCCCAAGCCTTCTTGACCTGTAGAAGCCGAAACGATCCTCGGCGCAGGCATGCAAGCCCCAAGCCCTAAACCCTACTTCAACGATCATTGGACTTAGTAACTAGGGTTATAACTAAGGTAACTGTACTTAGATCTACTTATAACCCCCATTGTGGTACTTATAACCTTACTTGCTAAGTCCCATGATCCTCCAAGTACCAGTCCCAAATCACCAAGCTTTGAACCGAAGCTCTGCAGCCCTTGTATAATTAGACTATAATGCGCCCCAAATCCTTGTTTTAATGCCCTACACCCCAACGAGCCGAGCCTAAATCTCTGATAGAACCCTTAAAGAACACTTATAGAACCTGTAAAGAACCCTATAATAGAACCTTAGAGATCCCTTCACGATCCATTATAGAACCCTTACAGACCTCCAGATCACTGCCCGCGAGGCCGGGAGAAGACCGCTGTACTACGCTCGAGGCGTTTTCCGGGTATCCTTAGCTAAATTTTGCTAACCATTACTAACCCTATAAGGCTCTGAGGATTCATATCTCAACGCATTTTTGCCTAAAGGTCATACTATGTGATGCTTTTGGTTTTGAGCCTTAGGGTTAGGAGTTGTGATAGCTTTCTATCGCTTTATCGGGGTGCAAGTACTGTCTAAGAACTCCTTGTTTAAGGGGCCTGTTGCAGAGGCCTTTTAAGCCACGGACCCCGCGGTATACACTTCCTCATAGTATGCACATCCCGACCGACAAGGTACCTTACTCCATGGCCGTTGTGAGGTCACGTATCTTGGACGGTTACCATACATGTCAGGTAAACTTTGTGCCCGGCATCTGTTCTGATCCCATAAAGCAGTTCATGTCTGTTACTAGTTATTCTCACATCACCAACAGGAATCCCAAATATACACCCACCAGCAGTCCGAAGGATAGTTATGTACACTCACCGACACCCTGATACTGTAGAAAGTCTAGTTCATACAGGTCCCCTGAGTACCCTTGGGGTAAACATGTGTGTGTTCGGAAAGAAAGGGGCTCCGTTTAAATAGATGGTTCAATCCCGAGCAAAAGGGCCCGTAGCTTGGAACCCCTTAACTTTCAGAATGTCCAGCGACACAGACTCTCAGATCAAAGCTCTCTATACATGGTTATGATCGGGCACCTCGAAAACCCACATATGGGAGTTTCCGAAAATCAGGGGTACCTTATTTTCGGGTCCTTATAACAAGGATCCTATTACTTAGGGTACTATATTAGGGTCCCCCATCTTCGGAAACTCCCATATCTGTTCCGGGCAACCCCAGTGGCTAGCTGAGCTGCCAGGCGAGGAAAACTCTGCCACATGCGTCTCTGCGCTCCTGTCCATCACAGGTTTGCAGGCGCGTGATCTTTTTCCTTACCTTTGGTTAGTAGGGAGTGGAGGAATGGGGTACAAGAATAACAAATTAGAATTACTCTTGCTACCATTCTTCCAGTCCCTACTAACCAAAGGTAAGTTTCTGGCCGGGTGGAACTTGGGCAGTTGGTAGGTGATCGGTGTCAAACCCTATCCCTCCAAGGACCTCATAATTAGGGCCCTAGACCCCTTAAGGACCCCATAGTAAGGTCCCTGGAGGCATAGGGAAAGAGTCCAGGGAATTCAGCTTGGGAGTTTGGGCCGCCTGGGAGCAGTGGAGTTATGGTTTTGGCCTTACCGGCTGGGAAGCATGATGGTCAGAAAAGTATAATTTACCACATAGGCCGACAGTGGTAATTTCAGTACCTATGCAACTACTTTCCACAACAAGAATCCCGAAAAAACACTAAATCCTAAACCTGAAGCCTTTAATTCTCAAACCCTATTATGAACCAAAGCCCTAAGCCCAAAGCCTAAACCTGAGTTTCGTGCAGACGTCAAAGGGTGCATTGCATTAAAGAAACCTTATTGCATAACGTTTATCCGTCTTCTGAGCGCCTCCATGCATGAGGTGCCCAGTGTGGAGATCCCCGCAGACTGTCTAAAGACTAAGTAAGTATCCTGGAAGCTTTTCTTGAAAGATCAACTTCTATAGGCGTCATGTATGGGCGTGGATCGTCAAAGAAGCCTGCGCACAATCAGCAGCAAAACTAGTACCTAGACCACCAAATGTAGGTAAAACAATGGCCCAAAACCTATAAACGGTTGTTATCCTGCATACTTTGGGGTCTAGGGACAAGCCTTCCTTCTCGAATCTTGTACCCTGTGGCGACTCCTTCAGTCAAAACATCCCGTCAGCTACGCTCTAAAGGTTCGGGTATCAGCCCTAAACCCTAAACCCCAAACTCCAAACCTGACGCATTGATTGTTCAGGGCCCATCATTGATCAAATCCTAAAGTCGGACCGATACCTGCAAGCCGTAAACGCGACATAACCTCCGAACCCTAAAGCGCCAAAGCCCAAACTCCCAAGCGCCAACGTGTAACTTGGCGGTTCAGGGTTTATAGTGTTTTTAAACTCAACCCCTACTATAAATCCTAAACATCCTATAGATCCTGAACCGTAAGCCCTATAAATCCTAAACCCTGAACCCTGAGCCCCCTTCCTTAACCCTAAACCCTACAAACCCTAAAACAGCCAGAGGCCGATGCGCCGGACCGCTTCGGCCAGACAGCTCTTTTCGAGGTCGGGAGCACACAATTCTGCATGCTTTAAAATCAATCCCTGAGGCTCTGAGGACTCATATTGTCAGGTTTTAGGGCCTAAAGACCTTACTGTCTGAGGCTTTTGGCTTATTTTGAGCCTCAGGGTTCAAGTACCCAAATACACCCCACGAGGATCGCCCAATTCTTAGAAGACCTACAAGCCCTAGCCTAAAGCCCACAGCCGCCAAATTCTATGCCCTCAAAGCCATAAAGCCCCAAAGCACGAACTCCGACGCTGCAGTCCTAGACTCCTAAACCCTAAACACCACAACCAAACCCACCAAACCCTCCTAAACCCCAGACACCATCCTCATAATACCCCTTCACAGCAATCCTTATAGACCCCTTTAAAGGATCCCTATTCCTAATTATCCCTCAAGCCCAATACTCACTTAGCGAGAGGCTGCCATCCGCGGCGATGCCAACAAAGCTCTTGCACTGCTGGCTGCGGATGCAGAGGTGAAGCCTGCAATCTGATACAGTAGGGTTTAGGGTTTGGAAGGGTGCCTGTATATCCAGAGGGCTCCAGTTCGCTGAATATGGTAGGTTGCTGGGGACATTATATATGGTTAGTAGCCTACCAGCTGGGCAACTGGAGCCCTAGGGTATATTCAGAAAAGGGTTTGGGGTTCCAAAGTTTGCAGCCGTTTGTCGGGGGGACTTAGTTCGACCAAAAAATTCTCGCCCAATTCTCAAACACGAAGTACGAATCCCCTGAAACTCAGTGTCCCAGATAGCTATCGAAAAAAATCGCTGCGTGGCCAGGTAGATGCACAGGACAAGATCGGACAGACACCGTTGTGCCTCGGACAGATTGAAGGGTTTAGGGTTTACGTGTGTGTTTCCCGGATTTCCTTATGCTCGGGAGCAGCCCCATACTTTTGAAAATCCCTTACCATCGCTGTTCGGTCGCGTAGTATCTCACCTTTTTTCTGCACAACCACCTTGCCAAGCCTAGATCCACACCTTAAACTCGGTATAACCCTGAACCCTAAACCCAGTAACCCTAAACCCTCAGCCCCGAATCCTAACCCCAAACCGTAAGTAGTGGAGGACCTGAAGTTCATTGACTTAGGGCTCACATAGGTTGTTGTGCTCTCGGGTAGGGTTTAGGTTTTAGGGTAAGCGCATGGCTATTCTTGGGGCAGCGTTTGGCAACAACTCTCATAGCAGAATCCTTATGACTTTATGAAACCTTGTGTGAACCATCGAAGCCCTCTTTCCGAACAGCCATCATGACAGAACCCTTTTTATAGAATCCGCATGAGAAGCCCTCCCAACGAAACTCCCGTCTTCTAAAAATTACCACCGATTTAGATGGCAACACCCGACAGGTAGGGACTTTCTGGGCTTATGTTAGGGGCTTGAGGGTGTAGTAGGCTCTAGAACGGAGGCTTTCGGCGACGACGGCTTAGGGTTTTAGGGTGTGGGGCGTAGGGTTCGGCGTTTAGGGTTACGGGGTTTCAGAAGGGTTCAAGGTCTAGCATCTGGGGCTGACGCTCTGAGGTTTTCATCTGGACAGTTTCATGTTTGTGTGGTTCTCTGATTGCGATTTTGTGCTGTGCGGTTTTGTGCTTGGTGGTTTAGGACTTGTCGGATTATTGGTTTCGAGTTTGGTAGGTCTAGAGTTGTGGGTAGCAAATTGTTGGCTTAGGTGTTCGCTGTGTTCAAAAAATGATCTGATTTTGCTGTTGTTGTCTGTTTGTCGTCTCGCATGTCTGCCTTTCTTGATGCTGCCTCAGGGCATATTCCACATGTTCTATCAACTCGAGCAAAGACACTTCTAATTAATTGTCACTGGCCTCTCGTTAGTGAATGATTGCAGTCCTGAGAAGCGTGCGGTTGAGATGCGTCGCTACTTGAAGGCAGTCTTCACGACGTCCTCCCTTGCGTTTGCCAACGATCAGAAGACCGGCACACTTCAGCACACTCGCTTCTACAATGAAGTTCGCGACCGTGTGAGTTCCTCTAGGGTAAAAGCCAGAAAGTTGGAATATGATAATCCTAACCCTTCTATGGTAAATTATAGGGTATCCTACCATGAAACCCTATTCCAACTTTCTGGAGTTCCCTGTACCATCAAGAGGGAGATCGTGCCATGAAGGCTGACTGAGAAAGAATGCGTGTGAAAGCATCAAACCTGCTTCACGAACTCGCCCTTTTCTGAGTGTTTGATGGACTGTCTCTTAGAAGAGAGGCCCTATAACCTTAAACCCTAAACCGATGAGGCAGAGTCTCTGGACCGCCGTCCAGTGCTGTTATGTGCTTCTGAAGTGCGCAACCCTGCATCAAAACCCTAAGGGTTTCGAAGCTTTGCTGGATCTTGCACGGGACCCGATAGCTCTACTGTAAAGGACAGTAGTCTGGAATGCTCACCGTGTTATTGATGTGTTAGATGGAATGTCACTTTTAGGGAGGAGCAAGTGGATTGCCGCAACCAGGTTCGTTAATCATACAATCCGTGCAGTGATGTTTCTAATCAAGGTCCGATACTTGGGGTTCCATGCGAAAAAATCCACGGGGGCTCCCTGTTGAAGGCCTTGGAGAGCAAGGGTCTTGCTCGAAGGACACCAGGATTTCATGTAGGTCTTGCCAGCATGCCTTCATTCCAAACCTCAGTCCAGAACCTTCAGCCCCAAACCTTAAGCCCTAAGTAAGCCCTAAACCCTAAACCCTAAACTTAAAGTAAACCTGATATCCTCCGCCTACTTATAACCTACTCATTGCGACCCTTGAGCCGCCAACCTCTTAGTAACTTAAGGCCCCAGACCTTCCAATACCTTGTCATTAAGGAATATGCCGCAAATCATATCAGGGATCCTGCTTTGGTTTAATGTGTATTCATTCATCAAGGGATACTGCTGATGGACAAAATCCTGCATCACCCATTATAAGGAATATACCATAGTTCCCATAGTTTAGAGTCCTTAGGGTCATGCAGGATTTTGTCCATCAACAGTATTGGAGGTCTGGGGCCCACGCAACTCTGTAACGCTAATCGGAGGTTCGCTGCAGTCGAGCACAGACGGCCAGAAATATGCCAGCTGCTGCTAGAGGACGATTCGGGTTTGGAGTGTTCTAGACGGGTTCCGATAAGGGCTAATTACCAGAAGGCCTCTAGATGAAAAGCTTCTGATAAGGTTTCTGTATGGGTTACCATCAGGGTTCCGATAAGGCTTGTAAAGATATTGGGCTCGCGGTTTACAGCGGAAAAGTATTGCAAGCTTTTTTCTAGCACTCGGGCCTTACATGAGAACCCTGGTTTTCTAAAGGGTACAAGTACCACCATGATCTTGTACTGCTACCTAACCCTACCTAAGAATTATTGAACTACGCACACCTAAACTAAACCCTAAACCGAAATTTGTGGCGTCGGCTTATCGAGAATGACCACACCCTAACCCTATAAGGTTCTATGGACTGCTATGTTTAGGTTTTCCGTCTGTTTCGAGCCTTCGGGTAACATCCACAAACCAAGTCAACCCAAGACCCTGAACCCGAAATGCGGAATTCTACACCACCTCCAACTCCGTGCGGAGCTGGTTCAGAACTACCCTAGAGGCTCCACATATAGTACCATTATGGAAATAAGTCCCCAAAGCCATGATATGGATGGTCTTTTGGGACCTAATAATTCCATAATGGCACCATATATGGAGCCTCTGGGTACCTCAAGCACATGGAGACGTACAGTGGCCTTTGGGATCACGAGCTCCCCGACGGCAACCACAGCGACTCTTTTGAGGACTATGTCCCAGAGGGTCCATATACACTACTATTATGGAATAGGTCCCCAAAACCATAATGGGCATGGTTTTTTAGGGCCTAATTCCATACTGGTAGTGTATATGGACCCTCTGGGTGTGGAAGCAATCGCCAAACCGAGAACATGGGGCGGGCTGCTTGAGCTGCGGGCCCTGGCCCGCATGTACGATGTCAGGATTACCGTGGTGCCCCGTGCTCCCACGGAATCTGTCTTCACCATCAAGCCGGCACAGAAGCAGCGAATCGTGGTGTTGCTGTTCACCGGCATTCACTTCGACACCTTCTCCCCGAGAAGGGCAAGCAATGGCCTCTCCTGGCCTTAACGGGAACTCCAGAAAGTTGGAATATGGTTTCAGGGTAGGATACCTTATAATTTACCATAAAGGGCTTAGGAGAATCATATTCCAACTTTCTGGCTTTTACTTTAAGCCCAAACACCCCTGCACGGCCCTACACCATATCCAAAGACCTCGGTACATCCTCATCCCAAAATCTCAGGGGCTCCCAGGCTTAGGGTTGATTCGGATTTGGGGTTCAGAGTTTGGGAGCTTAGTTAAGGGTTTAGGGTTTAGGGTTGATTCGGGTTTGGGGTTCAGAGCTTGCGAGCTTAATTAAGGGTTTCGGGTTTGGGGTTCAAAGTTTGGGAGCATAATGCTTCGCAAGGACAACTATTAGATTCATTATCATCACAACCCTCGACTTGCATAAACCCTCCATTCGTAATCCCCGATGAAGCCCTGGGCTATAGGTTCTCCTGGACGCTGATAAAGCTCCGCGCGGCGCGTAAGCCTAATACATCTATCCGAAGACATTTGCTCGCTTTGGTTCTTGTGGCCCCGCTCTATTCCCTAAGGCCCTGAAGCGTTTTGTGCAAGCGGCACTTTTTCGGAGGCGTTAGTGCATGCGGAGTTTAACGGAATGGGGGTTGAGGGCACGCTTAGGGCTTACGAACGCTCAGGGTTTGGGGACGCATCATTATAACAGCTTGGAGTGGGATGCTTTGAGCCTGGAAGCTTAGGGAAGGTGCCCGCAATCGAAGGGTCCGCGTTCGGCTCTTGTCAGTATGATACGGGTTAATAAGGAGACGTTAGTTTCGAGCAATATGCCCTTTAATTCAACCTTTCTTCGCGAAAAATATGCTGATGACATCGAGCAAAACCTATAGGGTCTAGTTGAAGAGGTGATCGACATCTTTGCTAGGGTCACACTTCGGCGGGGATCATTCCAACGATGCAGGTTGAGGGGTTTGTGTGCCATGGCTTATTGCGCAGGAGTTCAGGCTCTGATCATGAAGGTTTAGGCAGTGTAGACTAACTGGGCTCGTCTGACCTAGTTCGCGTCTGCCCCTGGAGTTCTGAATTGCAGCAAGATCTGCTAAGTGTGCCAACCATCTCAAAACCTTCAACACTACAGCATACAACAGCCACAACCAGCGGGGTGTGTCTGCCACTTGCCTGAAATACTTTTATGCTTCCCAACTTCCATATCTGCTGCTTAGAGATGTGGAGCCGGTTAAAATTGCACGTGGAGTTTGGATACAAACCTTGTCTCGCAGGCCAATGCGGACGTCCAGAAGCCTGACCAGCAAAAAAGGCCTCGAAATGTTTCTGCACATCGGCTCTTTCAACAAAGGTAGCAATATCATAATGTAGCATACCCCAGGGCTCCAGTTTCCTAAATAGCAGGTTACTTATCCTAGTAACCTACTGTTTAGGTACCTGGAGCCGCTACTAGAGATAAGTCCGAATATGGGAGTTTCCGAAAATGGGGGGACTCTAATATTATTGTACCCTAAATAGTAGGATCCTTATTATAAGGACCCCAAAATACGGTACCCCTAATTTTCGGAAACTCCCATAATTAGTGCCGAGAGCCTCGACACCGTCGGGGGGAGGCCCTAGGCTAATTGGAAGCTCGGAAAGTCTACAAGGCCCAATACCCTAAGACTCCATCTGCCCACATAGTACCTGTAGTCTCCATTGTAGTTCCTTTTTTGGCTTAACCAGCTATATATTAAGGAACCCCAAAACGGAACTACAATGGAGACTAAGGGGTCCCTATATAGGTACTTGAAGGCCTAAGTACCTACTATATGGGTACAATGGAGCTTTTGGGATAAGAGCAGGCTCCCCGGTTCGACCAAGGTTCCAAGAGGGTTCAGGAAGGGGTTCTATAGAGGGCCTATAAGAGGCTGACAAGGGACCTAAAGTGTGTTTGAGGGGTTTTCAGGTGTCCGCAGGATTCAGGAAGTATCGGAGTTTAGGATGGAGCTGTAGGTTCTTATCTTGGAAAGCATATGGTGAGCAGGCACTTGAAACTCGAAAATGAATGTACCGAAGACAGACAGGGTTTGTGTGGATTTGGGCCGAAACCCTGTAAGCCCCCTTGTATATATATATATATATATATACGGGGGTGAGCAATGTGGTAAGCTAGAAGAAGCACAAAATCCAATTAAAGGAAGGCCTGGCTTTATAGTATCTATGTAACACAATATGCATACATATTTAATGGCTTCCGCCAAAGCCGCCGACCGCCAAGAGAACAACAAGCTCTGGTGCCAGCAGCCGGCCACGGCCGGGACCTGAGAGTTAGAGTTTGGATTTAAGGTTTTAGGGTTTTTGTTATTGATGTTGGGTTTGGAGGGGGGGGGCAGGGCGTGCTTAAAAATACCCTTGGTTTCGATTTTTGGTTTAGGCTTTGGAGTTTAGGGCTTCGGGCTTTTAAGGTGCAGGGTTTAGGCTTTGGGGTTTTCAAACCATATGCCTTAACGACCCAAACCTTACACCCTAAACCCCTAGCCCCAAACTTTTATAACTTAAAACCCATACTAAAGTTATTAATTTTACTAATTACTTACTAGACCTTAATCCAAACCCTGAACCCCTAAAGCCGAAACCCACTGGCCCTACACCCTAAGCCCTAAACCTTGACCCCTAAACTGTTATGACCCATAAACCTTAGCCCAATCCCTGAACCCTTAAGCCTTAAACCCCCTGCCTTCAGGTCTTCCGACTTCGTCTTCGCTTTCGCTGTTGAGGCCCGGCCCTGAACCCCTAAACCCAGTGCCTTGAGCTTGTTTTGGAGGGGTTTTTTCAGGTAATTTCAGGTTGGGGTTTACTGGGCGAGCCTGATTAGAGGCCCCAGTCAAACGGATTGGGTGAGCTCTGCGGGGCCCCAATCTTACTGGGTGTGCCCTTTGGGCCCCAGTCCGGGCGAGCTCTGTTGGGCCCCGTACCACTGGGTGAGCTCCATTGTGGGCCCCAGTTTCAACCTGCTGGGCGAGCTCCTTGTGGGCCCCAGCAACCAGGCGAGCTCAATTGGGCCCTGGTCAACCCTGCTGGGTGAGCTCCGCTCGGGGCCCCAGTACCCTGCTGGGTGAGCTCCTTGTGGGCCCCAGCAACCAGGTGAGCTCAATTGGGCCCTGGTCAACCCTGCTGGGTGAGCTCCTTGTGGGCCCCAGCAACCAGGTGAGCTCAATCGGCCCTGGTCAACCCTGCTGGCTGAGCTCACTGCGGGCCCCAGTAACCAGGTGAGCCTATGGCCCTGGTTAACATTGCTGGGTGAGCCCCACCCACGCCCGGGCCCCAGTATTCTGCTGGGGTGAGCCCCATTATGGGCCCCCAGGAACCAGGCGCGCTGAAATGGGCCCTTTTTAACATCACACGTTGTGCTTGAACCTGCCAGGTCTATGATGGTGGACGATTTCTGATCTCGATGGTCTCGGAGGCAAGTTGTTTGGTAGTAGTATTGCTCTTGATGTCGAGTGTAACTGTAACAGACTGTAAGTATTCCCCCATTATTTCATCTGCAGGTCATCGATTTCGTCTTCGAGGCAGGTCACTGGCATCGCTAAATCGATACAATTGCAGCCGCAGCCTTTGCAGTTGCAGCATTTCCTTGCCAGGTCCAGGTTGCATCCTTCGGCTTCGACTTGGAAGGTGGCGCCAGGAGCTGAGACTTACAGTTCGTTCATTTACTCTTCATGAGTAAGGCCAATAGTCTCAATTTCATCGCGGAGTTCAGCCATGTTCACACCTTATCGGGCCGGCTTCTCAGATGCTTGACAGTGAATGAGATGATCATCCCGTCCCGATGGAGTTCGTGCACGGCCAGGTCCGCAACTTATCGTTCGGGTTTCTCAGATTCTTGAGAGCGATTAGATGATCGTCAGGTCCACAAATTGCACATCTCGATTTCGTCTTCGTCTTCGTAGGAGATGCCACGAGCATTGCTTGTCATTATAAAGTCAGTGAGTGAGAAATGCATGACAGGCTGGCTAGCAGAACCGCTCGGATGGCTTCGAGGCAGCTGCGCTAGCTTAGCATGCTCCAAATTGGTGTGGAACCATGTTCTGCAAATGCCAGGTCCAGCATTTCTTCTTCATGATCATTGTCTTGGTTCAGGGTGGCTGCCGGAAGAGGTCCCTTCAGCTTCTTTTTAAGCCGAGAGTGTTGTTGCATGCATGCACATTGCCGACTTGCAGCGTTGCATAATTGCATTCACCTTGCTTTGATTGTGGCCGGCTCAAGTGCACATGTCATAAAGTTCCGAAGATCATGTGCAGCGTCACGTCATCAATCGTAAACCAGGAACTCAATGATACAGGGCTTTAGAATCTAGGCTAGGCCTTAGGCACTTCACTTCCATACATATCGATGTGTAGGTACATAGGCCCTTCCATCTTCCATGACTTCCGCTTTACGTATCTGGGCTTGGATTTAGTTTAGCCTGGGTGGCGTATTGATGTGATAACCTGGCTCCTGTACTGTAGACTGTAGACTGTAGACTGTAGACCCTAGGCCCTAGACTCTAGACACATAGGTCCTTTCAGGACTTCCGCTGGCTTAGATTTAGTTTAGCCTGGGTGGCATATTGATGTGATAACCTGGCTCTTGTACTGTAGATACACAGGTCCTTTCAGGACTGCCGCTCCCGCTCTTCATGTGTCTGGGTTATGGCCTGGATCCTGTCCGGAGTCAATAAATAATTTAGCCTGGCTGGCACATAGAGTCATTGAAGGCTGTGCACTAAGTTTCGCAAGTTTTCCTGCGCCTCCTGCGGTCGCCATAGCAGCACTGGCAGCCCGTCAGCACTACATCCTCCCTCGGCTTCGATTTTCGCCTTGGTCTTCGTCTTCGTGTTGCTCGGATGAATTCATTGATTGAGTGGTTTCGGCAGCAGGAAAGAGTTTTGCACGTTGCGCTCAAAAATTCTGAGGATGGCGAACATGGAACGCTACCAATGCATCGACCTCGAGGGCGTGGTCGTTGCATATGGTGCGGAGTTCGATTATGGGAGGATGAGCACTTGGACTGCAACTGTCTTGTAGGCTTCATGTTTTTGGCCTTTCACTGTCTCACAGTCTCACACCTGCATCATGCATCACTCAGGTGCCAAAGGGCCTGCGGGTAAAGGACGAGACGTTATGGGAGGCTACGTCCGTCACTTTTACCCGGGGTACTGCCACACGTCCTACGATGTGCGAGGAATGTGGCCTCGCAACATCCGAGACGACAATGGCAGATCGCTTTCGCCTTCGCGTGTCTTGCCTTTACGTATTTACTGAAGTTAGTTGTACACATTAGGAGGCAACTTCCTGTGCTCGAGTCTGCCGTATGCCTCGTCAGGTTCGGCTTCGGTTGGGACTTGGAACCCTCTGGAGAATGAGGATTTTTTTATCCGCATGCTGGAAGAGGGCTGGTACACCGTGATCGCAGTCATCGGCTTGGTTTCTTGGATTATGATGATATGATATAAAAATATAATCAGTTATGAGTTATGGGACTTCACTCAGTTTTTCTCCATACCTCGATCCAAGGCCTTCGGACTGGCAGGCCATGGAGAAAGTGTCCAGCATTGCGTGGCACTTTCTTGCAACTCGGCTTCCTCTAAATGTACATGTTGCTACATGTTCAGTGCTTGAACTTTTCCTTGACTCAGGCTCAGCGGGCCTTCACCGAAGCTTGTCTTGCGCCATGGTCTTGGCATACCTGTTCGGCCTCGAGCTTTGGGCACCTTCGGTCTGCAACGAGCCGTTCGTGACGCCTGACCAGATCCCCATTTTCAAGAAGGTGAACAAAAAGGTCGATGCCTTCCTGGGCGAGATCCTGGAGGTTGCGGAGAAAAGGCCAGATCTTAGGGAAGTTCTTGTCTCTGCACTCAGCCCATAAGGCCCATAATGTCCGCTCCTTGAGGATGGCGGCCACATGCATGTACATCCGACTCGAACGCCACTTCCCGTGGGCGACGCCTTCGTACCCGGATCCTGAGAAGAAGGCGCCTTCGGAGGCGGCTTCGTCTTCGAAGCAAACGCCTGCGGCTACGTCGGGGAAGCAGCCGCCTGGCCCACCCCCTGGGCCACCGCCTTCGGCGCCGGCGCCTTCGGAACCGACGGAGGTCTGTCTTAGCCGTCGCCTTTTGTTGTGCTCCCGACTCCCGACTCCCTGTCAGTCCTGCCTGTTTGTCAGGCCATGCTGAAGCTCAAGGCCGCCCTTCCCGACCTGTACGCCATCTTAACGGAGCTGCAAATCGATGCGTCCGCTTGGTCGGTTATGTGTGCGTTGTCTTCAGAAAACAGCGCCATGGCCCGAGAGTTTGTCTTTCTCTGCGAGAGGATCCTGGGCTGCGGCACAGCGTGTGCTGGCAATGGCAATTAATGACATATGTGGAATCTGTGGAATTGTGGAATACAACTGAATATTCAAATTTCAAATTCCAAAACAAGACAGAGCCGAGGAAGCGGCGTGACACCGGATACAACTCCCTCGCCCTCGCCTTCGACAATCCTTCGGCAGCGGTCATGTGGCACTGCCAGAGCCGCTTCAACAAAATCTCCGGCTGCTTAGCGTGAAACTTATTACTGACTGACTTGAATCTTGAAACATTAGAACTTTTGCACACATCTTGAAATTTGAAGTTTCGTTGACTCCTCAGGACACAAGCTTGGCCAGGGCCGAGACGGCCGAGGAGAGACCTGGAGTCAGAGTGGGTCTTGGAATCGCAACAGAACGCCGCGCTTCGACCGCGACCGTGGCCAGGGTAGCGGTAGCTGGGGGGGCGGCACTTGGCACAACAGCCGCTAGCCCTGCTGAATGCTCGCCTCCGCCTTCATCCCATAGGTCTTCTTCGGGCAATATTCCTCCAGGACCAAAATATCCAAATATTGCATAAGGCATAAGGCATAAACGCTTCCCTCGAGCATTTTGCATGGGCAGTGCGACATGACTGGCCGCATGATAACACACACTGTCGAAGGTTCGCCTTCGTCTTCGGAAATTACTCACAAGTTCACAAGAGTAGTCAGAGTGGTTGTTATATGTACTATACAAAAAAGGCTGTGTTGATCAAGAGGCTCACTAGCCATGGGAGCCTTCGGCAGATGTGTTTTTGCAATGAAGTGCTGGCATTATTCCTTCCTTTTGGACGTGACCAGCAGCCGCATGCAAAAAAGTGCTTGTGCCATTGCGTGCAACGCATGATATTGATTTGCGCATTGCCCCTTTAATTTGCCAGTGACTTTCTCGTGCCAGGTTAGATCAGACCTGTGTCGACCAAGTGGCTCGTAACTCAGTTTGCCAGTCCATGTACAGATGTGATCTTATCGCCTGAATTTCCTGCCAGGTCCTGCCATTGATGACTTGGACTTCGACTTCGTTTTCGGCCAGGCCTGGCAATCTCGGTTGGGCAGGGAATTGTAATAAGTCGCGTTCATTACCCATGTCGTTGGTCCATTACAACATTTGAGCACATCTTAATTTTGGAAGTGCTTGCAACCCGCCAGCACACGATTTTGGCATGTAACACTCTTGTCATACATAATGGGAATCTTCGAGTTCCATGGAACCACTTGAGTCATTGATATGATGGCTAAGGGAGCCCAGGGGGGGGCATTCAATCATTCAGTCGTATTCTGATAGGGTTTGAAGTTTGAAGTTTGAAGTGTGCCTTCACGACACAGCTCGGGATCAAGAGCAGTTTTAATCTAGCCAGGGTGGAGACCACCCCAGACTCGACTAACTCCCAAACCCTAAGCCCAAAACCTAAGCATCAACAAATCAAGGCTCTTCTCCGGGCTGCCCCGTCACCATCCCTCTTAGCTTGGACTCCCTTGGACACCGGGGTGTGTTCACACATCCCTGAGTCACTTCAGAGCTTCACTAAGGGCTTTGTTCAAAGGTTGGGGTTTGATTTATGGATGGTCTTGGACGGATTCGAGGGTCAGGTAGATTTCGAGGATTTCGAGGCAGCCACTCATTCACGAAAATTGTGTTTGGTTGTCTTTGCCTGTGCCGCAATCATGCCGCGAAAGCGCCCGCGCAACAATGACGCCGCTGCTGCTGAGGGCGCGCCTGCTGAGACTGACGCTCCCAAGGCCAAGGCTGCTGCCAAGGCTCCCGCAGCTGACCCTGCCCCCAATCCTTCGGCTGCGCCTTCGACTGGCCCGCCTGCGTCGAAGTCTTCGTCTGGGAGTTCAAGAGAACCTTGGTCCTTGGTTGCTGGTATCTAATTCTAAATTCAAATTGCTTCTTCCTTTTTTGCAAGATCAAGAGTTTTCCTGAGCCAGTTCACCAGCCCAGGATCCGAATTCCAACACCAGCATGAAGCGAGACCGTTGGCTGGCAAAGAGAGACTTGGCATTGCGTTGTGGCGTTTGAGTAACGTAGATTCAGACTAAGCATATGGGTCATTATGGGTGTGACAATAATTCGTCAAGGTCATAATGAAAGCAAGCTGTTTTCTGCACGTCCCAGGTAAGGCCAAGGCGCCAGTTGGGGCAGCTCCTCCTCCCAATCCCAAGCCAGCTGCAGAGCCTTTTCCGAAGATGCCTGCGCCTTCGCCTTCGCCTAGCCCCAAACTTGCAGGAGCGACGTCAATGACAAAGTCAAACAGCGGTGAATACTAACGAATCAATAATTGTCAATAATGCTTACTAGAATTTCTTAAGTTTCAGGCATC